CTAATTTCTGGCAAACTCGAATAACGCGGATTTTAAGCAATGTTCAACACAATCGCTTTAACCAAACTGGCAAACGGATTTCTAGCCAATGTTCAACACAGTTGCCTTAAAACAAACTACGGTAAAACAAACGTGAACTCTTTAAGCAATGTTCAACACAATCGCTTTATCCAAACTGGCAAACGAGATTTCTAGGCAATGTTCAACACAATTGCTTTAAAATGGCAAACGAGGTTTTTATGCAATGTTCAACACAATTGCTTTAAACGAGCCGGAACTGAGTGAAACCTTAAGCAATGTTCAACACAATCGCTCTAACCAAACCGGCACACGAGATTTTTAGGCAATGTTCAACACAACTCCTTTAAACGAGCTACAGTAAAACGACATAATTTTAAGGAATGTTCAACACAATTGCCGCGAACAACTACAGTAAAATGGTATCTTAAGCGATGTCCAACACAATTGCTTACTAGGGTAAACGTGCAATGTCACAGAACTAACAAAGTGGGGCCAGAAAAACTAAAAGAAATCTTACCCCGGGGGCTTGAATCCCCGCTTGCGGCGCTGGATTTTGTTCGCCTTGAGCAGGCTGGGCGGCTGCTTGGTCTGCCGGGTTTGCGTTGGCCGCCGGTTCTTGGGCAGGCGGTGCTGGTGGTGCTGGTGGGTTGAGAGCAGCCTGAACTTCGTCGAGTTGAGGTTGGACCGGGACTTGCGCCATCTAGAACTCCAGAACGTAAAACACGGGGCGCAGCGATGTCAGAATATAAAAAAAAGAGAGTGCCAACCTTGTACGGGTTCTGTCGCAGGACCAACGAATGAAGGCAGAAACCAAGGATTTGGTCTTTATATCAGCCCAATCCCACAGGGAATTATGTAACGCGAGTGCTCGAATACATTTCCTGCACGTTCGGAATTTTAAACCGAGCGATTGTGGCGAATTCCCCAGTGAGAATAGTATCCTTTTCTTCACAAAAAAAATAAACAAATAAAAATAGTTAATATAATCTGTGATCTGTTACTAGGATTCGTAAACTTCCCAAAGCACTTAAAGAGTGGCAGGCATTYTTGGACCTCAAGAAGACAATCGATGACTTTAGCGAGTGYTGTCCACTTCTTGAAATGATGGCAAACAARGCCATGAAGCTACGACATTGGGATAGAATCTCRCAGATGGTTGGCGTGACGCTTGATGTCGAGTCAGAGACATTTCAACTAAGACAGCTCATGAGCGCACCGTTATTACCAAATAAGGAAGAAATTGAGGTACGGCAATCTGATTGGTTGATTTGTTAACCCAAAAGGATTCTGGATTTTTTAAAAAACCATGATTGACTAAGGTTTAATATCACTAATTGTTACAAAATATAAGCTATACCTTCCGTTTCTAATGTCGGTAATTTGATAGGAATAAAATGTTGACTGTGATGCAGTTTGTACAAATTGCGGAAATAAAAATGTTCCCTCATAGGGGCCAAGTGTGATAAATATAAAAGGATAGAGTTGTGAATGTGTCTATTGCCAATAACCTCTAGAAAACGTTTTCATATCTAGAGTTTTATATGGGCTACACCCCATAGAACTTGCAGATTTACGTCCATCACCACCCCCCTGAGTCGTCCTTTGTGTTATCTGCTCTTGTATATTAGTGACCCGGCGCATTCCATACGGCATGTTCCGAGTCAATTTTACATTAGTCGGCACGGATGAGATTCGACGTTTAAACCATGTATTTGTGTATTTATGTATAGGATATCTGTATCGCCGCTGTGAAAGAAAAAGACATCGAGCAAAAGTTAAAAGCAGTACTTGCAGACTGGAGTACGCAAAATTTCTCATTCGGTACTTTCAAAAATCGTGGAGAACTTCTCTTGAAAGGGTCGGACACCGCRGAGATTGTATCTCTTATGGAGGACAGTCTTATGATCCTTGGCTCTTTGTTGAGTAACAGGTAACGATTGTTTCCCGAGAGAGAATCGATTACGTAACGAAGACAATATTAACTGACGACGTAGTTACGAACATCTTACGACAGAAAAGCGACAGTATGAACTTTTTATGATCAATACTATGAGACATATTTCATACTTAATACCTAACAATCTACTGACAAGACATTTATTACGCGTATCTATAGGTATAATGCTCCGTTTAAAGCAGAAATTCAAAAGTGGGTCGCAAAGCTGACAGGTTCAACCGAGATAATCGAGAACTGGTTAGTCGTACAGAACTTATGGGTATATCTCGAGGCGGTGTTTGTTGGYGGTGAYATCGCTAAACAATTACCTCAGGAAGCGAAACGATTCAGTCAGATCGACAAGTCATGGGTGAAGATCATGCAGAGAGCGCACGAGAATTCTAATGTTGTACAGTGTTGTGTTGGAGATGACACCCTCGGACAGCTGTTACCYCACTTGTTGGAGCAGTTGGAGATATGTCAGAAGTCTCTCAGYGGGTAAGTACTTGTCGCTTATTGGTGTGTTCAATAAATGTCTATTTTTGCTTATTGATCATAGATATTCATTCTCGGAAGCCTAAGTGATGTTCATTGCGAACTAGGGAGATTGGAGCGCGGAGAAAGCTCCAGTCTCCCCACTGGCCCCCACTTAACTTAACCTAGTTTACGTATTTTGTGTTTTTCCGCTTGTAATTTTTTCTATTATAACTTTGTATATTCTGTTACATCCTTAAGTTACCTCGAAAAGAAGCGTCTTCTGTTCCCTCGTTTCTTCTTCGTGTCGGACCCCGCTCTGCTTGAGATTCTTGGTCAAGCCAGTGACTCACACACAATACAGGCNATTATGTTGTATTTTCAAGGTAATGTTGAGGTGTGGCAACATTGCCATGTCAAAAATTGCAGAACATTGATGTTAGAATCATTATGTTGTATTTTCAAGGTAATGTTGAGGTGTGGCAACATTGCCATGTCAAAAATTGCAGAACATTGATGTTAGAATCATTATGTTGTATTTTCAAGGTAATGTTGAGGTGTGGCAACATTGCCATGTCAAAAATTGCAGAACATTGATGTTAGAATCATTATGTTGTATTTTCAAGGTAATGTTGAGGTGTGGCAACATTGCCATGTCAAAAATTGCAGAACATTGATGTTAGAATCATTATGTTGTATTTTCAAGGTAATGTTGAGGTGTGGCAACATTGCCATGTCAAAAATTGCAGAACATTGATGTTAGAATCATTATGTTGTATTTTCAAGGTAATGTTGAGGTGTGGCAACATTGCCATGTCAAAAATTGCAGAACATTGATGTTAGAATCATTATGTTGTATTTTCAAGGTAATGTTGAGGTGTGGCAACATTGCCATGTCAAAAATTGCAGAACATTGATGTTAGAATCATTATGTTGTATTTTCAAGGTAATGTTGAGGTGTGGCAACATTGCCATGTCAAAAATTGCAGAACATTGATGTTAGAATCATTATGTTGTATTTTCAAGGTAATGTTGAGGTGTGGCAACATTGCCATGTCAAAAATTGCAGAACATTGATGTTAGAATCATTATGTTGTATTTTCAAGGTAATGTTGAGGTGTGGCAACATTGCCATGTCAAAAATTGCAGAACATTGATGTTAGAATCATTATGTTGTATTTTCAAGGTAATGTTGAGGTGTGGCAACATTGCCATGTCAAAAATTGCAGAACATTGATGTTAGAATCATTATGTTGTACTTTCAGGGTAATGTGGAAGTGTGGCTTGATAATCTGCTAAAGGAATCTCGTAATTCACTACATGCTGTTATTCGCATGGCATCCATTGCCATCAAGGATCCAGCTTTTAAGCTTATTGAGTTCTTGAACTCGTTTGCTGCACAGGTAACAAAACCTTTGGACATTTGATTGAATATCATGTGAATATGGATTACATAACTTAGTACTAATGAATAGATGAAAGAAGGAAGAAAAGATGGAATAAATGGAAGAATAATTGAATAAGTGACTGACAAATAAATTGGTGAACGAATGAATGGATGAACAGATGAGAAAATAAATGGATAGATAAATGAGTGGATGAACAAAAAAATGGATGAATCACTGTTCTAGTGTATTCATGGTACAGTCTACTCTCGCTATTACAGACACCCTAGGGACCGTAATTTAGTGTCCGCAGTAGCGAGAATCCGTAGTAACGAGAATTACTTTCAGTCATTTCTTTGTATTTACACCGAGGATTTAGTATTTTACTGTCCGCAATATCGAGGTGTCCGTTGTAGCGGGGTGTCCGTAAGGCAAGAGTTGACTGTATGTTGTTTGTGTTGTCAGGTTGGTCTTCTTGGTATTCAAATGATCTGGACAAGAGACTCAGAAGATGCTCTATCAAATGCGAGATCTGATAAAAAGGTACCTTACACTGAAAATAAAACAATCCATATAAGACTTTTTAAATGAACACGATGCATGTTCCACTACTGAATTTAGGCTCTATTCACTGAATCATGCGTTCCACGTAAATATTTGACCAACCGTCTTGTTTTCCAGATCATGGCACAGCGTAACCAGTATTTCCTGGACATTTTGAATGARTTGATTGAAATGACAACAACAGATCTCACCAAGTTTGAGCGAGTCAAATATGAAACTCTGATTACAATTCACGTCCATCAAAGAGACATTTTTGACGATATGGTAGGTTGATTCACATATTAAACTGCTTTTAGACTAGTAAAATTTGAAAGTGGTTAACAGCCGAGTGATCAATGAACTTCCCACAAATAAAAGGAGCTTCTTTGAGTCACTTTTTCCAAGGAGCATTCTCAACATTCATCCTCTGTCTTTTACGCATGCTCAAAAGTTGTATTCTGAGACTGTCCCACATGGCTTAGCGCTTTATTTCAGATCTGGAATTATTATGTAATGCCTGTATTTTTAACCCCATTTCTAATCATTAGGTAAGGAAAAATATCAAGTCACCTACAGATTTTGAATGGCTGAAGCAATCTCGATTCTACTGGAGRGAAGAGACTGATAATTGTATAGTCTCAATCACCGATGTGGACTTCATCTACCAGGATGAGTTTCTCGGYTGCACAGAYCGTCTCGTCATCACACCACTGACAGACAGATGTTATATTACACTTGCGCAGGCCTTGGGCATGGCAATGGGTGGTGCACCCGCTGGCCCAGCAGGCACAGGYAAGACAGAGACTACTAAAGATATGGGAAAAGCACTTGGAAAGTATGTGGTCGTGTTCAACTGCTCGGATCAGATGGACTATCGTGGTCTTGGTCGTATCTTTAAAGGTAACGTCAAACCCCTTTCTTTACAAACACCTAAGAGAAAACTTGCTACTCGCAATGGAAATTCGCCTGAGATTGTAATTTTGCTTTGTTTCTTCGCAGGTCTTGCGCAGTCGGGTAGTTGGGGCTGTTTTGATGAGTTCAATCGTATTGAGCTACCTGTGTTATCGGTGGCTGCGCAGCAAATCTCTGTTGTCTTGACAGCAAAGAAAGAAAGAAAATCTACATTTATTTTTACCGACGGTGATGTAGTGGACATGAATCCTGAGTTTGGTATCTTCTTGACAATGGTAAATGAACACAAACTCAAGTAGAATGGACCCTTTTTCCAGGTCCTTTTCCAGCCTTAAATTAACTTTAATCTCTCTCAGAACCCTGGGTACGCTGGTCGACAAGAACTTCCAGAAAATCTAAAGATCATGTTCCGAACGGTAGCRATGATGGTTCCTGATCGACAAATTATTATTCGAGTCAAACTTGCAGCTTGTGGTTTCATCAGAAATATCATCCTCTCTGCCAAGTTTTACACTCTGTACAAGCTATGCGAAGAGCAGCTTACTAAACAGGTATGTGACGTCATTGGGTGTTTGGGGAAGCCTGGGGAGAACTTCAAGCCGAGGCTTATAGGGTTTTTTCTCTTAGGTCCACTATGATTTTGGCCTTCGAAACATTCTGTCTGTCTTGCGAACTCTTGGAGCTGTGAAGAGAGCCAATCCAGAGGTTTGTACATCTTGCATTACAATTGAGCAGCGTGACCTTTATCACACTATCCTTCTCCGTCTTCTGTTTGTGACAGTTGGACTAGAGGTTGACTTCGAGGTTGACTTGCGTTACATGTAACGTATTCTCTTTTACAGGATAGTGAAGATAGGATTGTCATGCGTGTATTACGTGACATGAACTTGAGTAAGCTTGTCGATGAAGATGAGCCGTTGTTTTTAAGTCTCATCGATGACTTGTTTCCTGGAATTCAACTGGACAAGGCTGGTTATCCAGACATCGAGCAAGCTATCGCTGAATGYGTCGAGGAAGCTAAGCTRATYAACCATCCTCCATGGACGTTGAAGCTCATCCAGGTGAAGTGTTTATTTAAATTTATTTGCTGATTATATCATTCAATTAAGGCCATATTCCACGTGGGATTAGCTTGGTTATCATACTCTTGGGTTTCCAAGAACTAATGACCAGGAATCCTCACTAATCCATTACTCATCGCAATCTGAACTGAATTTCCATTGTTAGCCTAGCATTTATTTTATTGTTTGGAAGACTATCTATCGTTTGTCCATTGTTATCTCAACCAATCATAAGACTCGTTCCGATCGGTTCAGACTGTCTCCTTGAGCCAGTGTTGGAAATCCTCTTCAGTCTTTCATACCCTCTGATTTATTGGCTCATTTTGATCACATGACATTTCAGTTGTACGAGACCCAGCGTGTACGTCACGGTATGATGGCCCTGGGGCCGAGTGGTGCCGGCAAGACAAAGTGTATTAATATTCTGTGCAAAGCGATGGGAATGTGTGGAGCACCACACAAAGAATTCAGGATGAACCCCAAAGTAAGTTGATACAAGGTTTTTAATGGGTTTTTTGACCAGCGACATGCATTGTTATTCTAAAAATATTGATGTCACCTCTCTTCCCAGGCCATCACAGCCCCCCAGATGTTCGGTCGTCTTGACGTGGCAACTAATGATTGGACAGACGGAATCTTCTCAACACTTTGGCGTAAAACTCTTCGAGCTAAAAAGGGGGACCATATTTGGATAGTGCTGGACGGCCCTGTGGACGCTATCTGGATTGAGAACCTTAACAGTGTACTTGATGACAATAAGACTCTAACACTGGCCAACGGGGACCGTATTCCTATGTCRCCCAACTGTAAGGTCGTATTTGAGCCCCATAACATCGACAATGCGTCACCTGCAACTGTATCCAGGTATTGTCTGACAAAATAGTGATGTTTGCGTGAAGTKTCCATCAACTCTCTGATAAAATCAAAGAATATATCAAATATGAGATGTAATTGTTTATATTTTTCGCAATAGAAATGGCATGGTTTACATGAGTTCATCTGCTTTAGACTGGAAACCTATACTAAAAGTGAGTTACTTTTCTTGAAGACTTTATCCCTGTGTTCATTTATAGTACTAATTGTTGTTGTTGTTTCTCTAGGGCTGGCTGAAGAACAGATCAGTAAACGAAGGAGAGATCTTGTTTCCTCTGTTTGAACAGGTGTTCGATGAACTACGAAACTTTGTCGTTGTCAATACTGTACCCAAAATGGATGTAAGTAGAACGGCTCATGATCACCATCATCAGCGTCACATTCATCAGCATCATTGTTTTGACATGTTTTGTCTTTCAGCTCCTTGAGTGTAACTACATCGTGCAAGCCACCAACATCCTTCAAGGTCTAATTCCCGGTGAAGATGCTGCCAAGCAAGCAGACGCTAAGCACCTTGAGAAACTATTTATATTCTCTCTCATGTGGAGCGTTGGAGCATTGTTGGAATTGGGAGATAGGAAAAAGGTAAAGTGCGATCAAGTGTTCGAAAACGATTACAGATCATGTCTTCTTTATGGATAAGATTCCTGATCAATCGTTCTATTGTATTAATTGATCATGTGTTCTATTTTCTTAGATGGAGGAGTTTCTTAAAGGRAAGTTTGATCTTCAATGGCCTCCTGCTRACGGTGAAGATACGTTCTTTGAATACTTGGTCAACGAGGAGGGTGAATGGGAACATTGGTCAAAYCGGGTAGGTTGATTGACGTGAMSTYATCATTATCATTGTCATCATYACTATYGTTAGTCGTTGCTTTTCTTTTGTGATGATGTTCTTGTTACAGTCCTGAAATGAATTTTGTTACTTTAAGTTGACACTATAACCCTTCTAGGTACAACCGTATGAGTACCCCAAGGACAGTGTACCTGAGTATTCCAGCATCTTAGTACCAAACGTTGACAACGTCAGAACTGATTAYTTGATCCAAAGCATCTCTAAGCAGGGCAAGGTAAAGTCCACGAGTTGACTTGATATTCACCACGAGTTAACTTGATATTCGCCAAGACTTGACTTGATATTCTTTGTTTTTTGAAACTGATTTCCCAACTTGTCCAACTTTAGGCCGTGCTGTTGATAGGTGAGCAAGGAACAGCCAAGACTGTCATGGTAAAAGGCTACTGTAACAAATACGACCCTGAACAGCACCTCTTCAAGTCACTGAACTTTTCATCGGCAACTACACCAAACATGTTCCAGGTAAATGTCATCGTTATCATTATTATCATCACCATCATCATTATTACTTTCCATTATTAATCGCTATGCATCATGATTACTTTATCATGATCATCAACAAATTAACACCAATTCGATGATACAATACTTAGAGAACCATCGAGAGCTACGTCGACAAGAGAATGGGAACTACATACGGGCCTCCAGCTGGAAAGAAGATGACGTCATTCATTGATGACATCAACATGCCCATTATTAACGAATGGGGAGACCAAGTAAGTTTTGATTAATAAAAACAGAAGGTTATACAAAATGTGAGTAAAAGTATCTACAAGCGAATTGCAGTACTCTTAAACTGCCATTTTTGCTTTGCTTAGATTACCAATGAGATTGTTCGTCAGCTCATGGAGATGAGTGGATTCTACAGCTTGGACAAACCAGGCGAATTCACCAGTATAGTTGATATCCAATTCATTGCTGCTATGATTCAACCTGGTGGTGGTCGTAACGACATCCCCAGCCGTCTTAAGCGTCAGTTTACCGTATTTAACTGTACTCTCCCGTCCAACACATCCATTGACAAAATCTTCTCTACAATTGGTGTTGGATATTTCTGCAAAGAACGAGGATTCACTTCTGAAATCCTAGAACTTGTGCAAATGCTCGTGAAGAGTACCAGAACCCTGTGGCAGAAAGTGAAGACCAAGATGTTGCCAACACCAGCCAAGTTCCATTATATTTTTAACTTAAGAGATTTGAGCAGGATCTGGCAGGTACTATCTCCTTCTCCTTCTTCTTCTCTGCCTTCTCCTTCTCTTTCTCCTCTGTGTTCTCGTTGCCTTCTTCTTCTTCTTCTTCTTCTTCTCCTTCTCCTTTGCCTTCTCCTTCTCCTTCTCCTCTGCCTTCTCCTTTGACTTCGTCTTTGCCTTCTCCATCTCCATCTCCGTTTTTCTGCTCCTCCTCCTAGATGAGAGACAACTTATGCTTTAATAAATAATCTTTTCAGGGAATGTTAACAGTGACATCAGAAGTTATGACCGACAAGAAAGTTCTTCTGAATCTKTGGAAACACGAATGTTCACGAGTGATAGCCGATCGCTTTACGAACCAACCAGACAAAGACTGGTTCGAAAAGGCTTTGAATAATGTTTTAGAAGACGACTTTGGTAGCGAAGCTCTGGAAATGGTCGACGCTGAACCCTACTTTGTGGACTTTCTACAAGATGCTCCTGAACCAACAGGTAACAATCAGTGAAAATATTGATGTCTTTGCTTTCTACCCAACTTTCATTTGTTAAATCTCTTAATCAAATTGTATTTCATTTGATCTTTTCATATTCTTCTCTTTTATTTCCTTCTTCATCTTCTCTGTGATCTCAGTCTTTCTAGTTTCTCAAGATCAGGAGAAATCTTCTGAACAGCCGAAAAAAGACAAACAAAAATCTCTCTCGAAACGTAAAAAAACWACACCAAAGTCTGGTAATAACCGTATGTGCATGCACGCATGCTCAGTRTGGGACATAAGGTCTCAACTCTGATTGGTTCTCCAAGGAARTGATATCTGGTGGTGCGTCTACTACGCATGCTCATCTCGATGTCCGAYACATCAATCATGTTGTACTATTTGCATGCTTGACAAAAGATCTTGAWTACTTTGTTGAWCATGCGCCGTAAACTACGTTGAACATGGACTCTTCATGTCACATTGCGCATGCTTGAATCAACATTGGTCAGTTTTGAATGTGCTGTTTTGCTTTAGGTCGCTTCAGATTTAGGGAAGGATTTTGCTTCTGTTGCYAMCACGCCTTTKCAATGTCTTCYTTCCTTTCCAAGTTATCGATATTTTTATCTTGACAGATATCAGCTGCATGATAAAATATTAAAATTTGTGGTCAGCGGCTTTCYATTTAATCCCTTAGTAACCCCGCCTTGCTTCCAACAGGTGACGAACCWGAAGACACTGAGTTCGAGGCGCCTAAAATCTACGAACCAATACCAAGCCTAGAGAGCTTCAAAGAGAGGTTGAATATGTTCATTGAGATGTATAATGAGGCGATTCGTGGAGCTCGCATGGACCTTGTGTTCTTCAAAGTAAGTACTGGGTTTCCTGTGTCATTTTAATAGTAATGTAGTCAACATACTCGATTTCTTTTACCAGGACGCCATGACTCACCTTGTCAAGGTGTCGCGTATCATAAGGACACCACGAGGTAATGCTCTACTYGTCGGTGTAGGRGGCTCAGGAAAACAGAGTTTAACTCGATTAGCTTCGTTTATTGCTGGYTACGAGATCTTCCAGATTACATTAACAAGGTAGGCAGTTCGATCCAATTCATGCAATTATCAGGTTTTTCATCTATTTGTCTTTTCATTCATTGGCATTCATCTCTTCATCTATTGATCTATCTCTTAATTCATCCACAATTTCATCAAATCCTCCATCAGTTCATTTATTTTCCCTTCCATCCTCTTTTTATCTATCCATTTATTTCCATTTTTATATCCCATTAGATCGTACAATACCAGTAATCTGATGGACGATCTAAAGATCCTGTACAGGACGGCTGGTCACCAGGGCAAAGGAATCACGTTCATATTCACTGATAATGAGATCAAAGATGAAGCTTTCCTGGAATATATGAACAATGTACTGGCCTCAGGAGAGGTAAAAATCAGCGTGCATCCGAGGATCCTTTGCTTGTATCCCAGGATCCTTTGCTTGTATCCCAGGATCCTTTGCTTGTATCCCAGGATCCTTTGCTTGTATCCCAGGATCCTTTGCTTGCATCCCAGGATCCTTTGCTTGTATCCCAGGATCCTTTGCTTGTATCCCAGGATCCTTTGCTTGTATCCCAGGATCCTTTGCTTGTATCCCAGGATCCTTTGCTTGTATCCCAGGATCCTTTGCTTGTATCCCAGGATCCTTTGCTTGTATCCCAGGATCCTTT